GCCGCCGCCATCCAGGGGTGCCCGTGCCGCCTGGCGGCACCCTGGTGCCGATGGCGGTCGGCCTGCTGCCGGGGTTCGTGGCGCCCGCGGCCGCGCCAGCTGCCATCGTCGGGCCCGTGCCGCCTCCCGATGGGGCTGCCGCCGCACCGCCCGCGGCCGGGGTTGCCGCTGCCGCGTTGGCCGCTGCCGGGCCGCCCGCGTCCGACGGACCGCTCGCCGCGGCGGTGCCAGGCCCGGCGGCCGGCGTGCCCATCGCGCCGGGCGCCCCCCCGGCCGTCGGCGCGCCTCCAGGACCCTCCTGGAAGGACGACGGCGGCGCCCCCCTCGGGCCGAACGGCGAGGCGCCAGCGGGCTGGTCGTGGGTGTTCGCCGAGAATGCAGGCGGCCTCGCCTACGGCTCGGTGGTGCAAGTCGGCCCGAGCGGTGTCGCGATCTTGGCAGCGCGAGCGGGCCGACGAGCGATCATCACTCTCGTCGGAGGTGCTTCCGCCATGGCGTTCATCCTGGAGGACTGGCGGCGAGGTGATTTCATCGACAAGTGGCGGGGGGCCGACGCGAGGATCTTGGCGCGCACGCCGGGCGTTCGCCCGGCACGGAGCTGGCTCGCAGTGACCGAGTCGGCGGTGAAGGTGGCAGACCCTAGCTTCACCTTGCCGCCGAGGTCCGCGGGCTGGTGCGTGGCGTGGCTGCTGCGGGAGGGCGGGCCCATTCAGCGCCACGAGAGCTGGAGGTCCCGCAAGAGGCTCAACTCCTCGGACTGGGGCGTCTCGGAGCACCACGCGCTCTCCATTGTGCTCGAGGACCTCGCCACGCACGACGAGGTGAACGTGGCGAACCTCCTCGGCGCGGAGCGTCTTCTGAGGAAGATGCAGCTGATCGAGCACTTCTGGGACGAGAAGCAACGGGGGCAGGATGCGGGGCAGCTGAAGCTGCCGGTGGAGGAGGTCTCCGCTTTCATGGGCGGCACGGGTCCGTCGAGTCGCCCAAGCAGCATGGCGCGCCCCGCCCTGCTTGGCGTGGTCGGCAAGGAGCTCGAGCGCATCAGTCAGATCAAGAAGAACGCCCGCAAGCTGCGGGAGGAGGCGAAGGCCGCCGCTGGGCCGAAAGCCGGCGGAGGCAAGGCATGACTTTCTCATGCCCGGGGGGGCCCTTTGGCCCAGCTCCCCCGGGCGCTGCGGCATCGGGGCCCATCTCGGCGACTACCAGTGGCGCTGAGGGTGTACATGGCACTTTCGACGGCTCGGGCGTGGAGCGGCAGCGGGACCTCTTTCCGCTGCCGGTGCCTGGCGCCGCCGACCCTGGCGGGCTGGCTGCTGGCGTGTGTTCCCGAGCCGTGCGGCGGCGCGCGCGGCGCGCGGCGTCCGCGCCCTGGCTCGCGCGGCGGGCGGTCGAGGCGCTCAATGGCCTCAGCGGTGCTGGGGTGCAGGGTGGCTCGCTGCCGCGGGCTGGCGCGACGCTCGCGCAGCAGCAGTGCCTGACGCGGGTCGCGGACTCCGTCTCCCAGCTGGGTCCCCCACCAGGCGACCTACAGCCTTTGGCAGCCCTGCAGGAGCTCCAGGCTGCTTTGTCCTACGACGGCTCGCTGTCGACCAGGGCGGAGGCGATGGGCGCCTCCCAGCTCTCGCTACCTCATCCAGGTGACCACCCCGTGGCGCTGGGGCGGCTGCTGGGGGCCGAGGTTTTCGACTCCGTCTATCGTGTTATCTCGTGCAAGGTCTTGCCAAAGACCGAAGTTTTGCAGCGGGAGCAGAGCGTTGGCTTCAAGAAGCCCTACTCGGACCCCTGCCTTCGAGACCCTCGCCGCTATGCAGCGCTGGTGAGGCGTCTCCACGAGGCCGGGGTGGTCGACCTCGTCAGCGACGCCGCCTTGGTGGTCGACGAGGTTGGCCCGTTCAGCGCGGCCAAGAAGAGTGGGAAGCAGCGGCTGGTCGTGGGCGCCCGCCCCGCCAACTTCTGGTTCGGCGACCCTGGGGGCGCCCGCCTGGCCACCGGCGCGGCGCTGGCGGCGATCGAGCTGCCGGACGGTGCCAACTTGTGGACCGCTTCGGCGGACATCGTGGACGCCTTCTACAACATGCAGTTGCCGGACGCTTGGAGGCCGTGCTTCGCGCTCCCTCCGCTGGACTCCTGGGGGCTTGGGCGGGAAGCCGCCCCTGGGCAGCCGCGCGCGCAGCGGCTCTGGCCGCGGCTCGCGGTGCTGCCCATGGGCTGGCCCCACGCGCTGGCCGTCTGCCAGCGGGTGTCGGCGGCGGCCGCCGACCGCGCAGGGCTGCCAGTGCTGTCCAGGATCGCGGACCAGAGGGCCGGCCCTAGCCTGGGCGCCGCGCCGGCGCGCACCTCGTGCACGTCGACAACTTCGCCTCCCTCGCCCTCGACGGTGACACCGCCGATCGCCTGAAGGATGACATGGTTGCCGAGCTGCGCAGCGAGGGCCTCCCGGTCCATGAGGAGGAGGCCGCCTCGCTCCACGCGCCGGTGCTGGGCTGGGTCATCGATGGCGCGCGGGGAGCAGTCGCGCCTTCGCCGCGGAGAGCCTGGAGGATGAGCCTGGCTACGCGCGCGCTCCTCGCCGTGCCGAGGGTCTCGGCCCAGCAGGTGCGCCAGGTCGTGGGCCACTGCGCCTTCCCTCTCACGGTGAGGCGCCCGCTGCTGGCAGTTTTCTCGGCCGTGTACCGCTTCATCCCAAAGGCCGGCGAGGCGCCTAGGCCTTGGTGGCCCAGCGTGCGCCGAGAGCTGACCCGCTGGCTCACGCCGACCTCCGGGCCCGCTGGCTGGGCCGAGGTCTGTGCGCGGATGCCTCCGAGTGGGGCCGAGGGGTATGCGAGCGTGAAATGAGCAACGACGTGTTTGAGAGGATGGGTAGGAATGGCCACCGCTTCCTCTTCCTCTCAGACAATCTCGTCACCGTCCTGGCTCTGACCAAGGGCCGCTCCTCGCGGCCGAGGATGGCGCGCGTCTGCCGCCAGTGGGCCGCTCTCGTGGTGGCAGGAGGCGTCACCGCGGCGCTGCGGTGGATCCCGTCGGAGGCGAACCCGGCGGACCTGCCCTCCCGCCGGGCGCTGAGGATCGGCGCGCGGCTGCGCTGGGATGCTGTCGCCAGTCTGGCCGCCGCGCGGGAGGGCGGACAGGCAGGTGCTGACGCCAGCGCCGCTCGTGGCGACGGTCCCGCGCCAGGCAGCAGTGGGGCGCCCCGGCCAGGCGACGGCCTCGCAGCGAGGCCAGCGCCGGGCGAGACGCAGCCACCTGTCAAAGGCGGCGGAGGCGGCCGCCATGCGTGCGGGGAGGGCCGCGGCGCGAGCACCCGAGGCAGCCTCCCTTCGCTCCTCGGCGGGTCATGTCCTGGGGGCCCTCTCGATCTCGGCGACCACGAGGGCCAAGTGCACGCGCCTCTTGGCCGAGTTCGTGGCCTGGATGACGACCGTGGCCGTGGCCCTCCGCGCCGAGGCGGCGGACGACCTGCTGGCGCACTGGATGGGCCAGCAGTGCGCCGAGGGCTGGAACCCCGAGCGCGGGGCCTGCATGCTGGCGGCGCTGAAGTTCATGATGCCGCAGTTCGGGCGCGGGGACCTTCGCGGGCCACCTGCGGCCGTCGGAGGCGCTGCGGGCCCTGGGGGCTCACCTGATCCCCCCCGACGCCGGGGGGCGCGTGCGACGGCTGGTCACTGGTGCTCCATCCTCGCGAGCTGGCAGTGCCCAGCAAGACTCAGGTCTACGACGAGGTGATCCCCTTCGACCTGCTTTTCTACAGCTTCCTGCCCAGCGCTCTCCGCTGGCTCAGGGCGGCGACCCACCCGGGCGAGCCGCTGTTCCCGTTCCCCCTCGTGCGCGTCAGCTCCCTGTTCAAGGGGGCGGCGGAGGACATGGGGCTGGCGTCGCTCACCCCGCAGCTGTGCCAGCTGCGGCACTCAGGCCCGTCGGTGGAGCTGGCACTGCAGTTGCAGACCTTGGCCAGCGTCAAGCTCCGCGGCCGCTGGCGGACCGACGCGTCGGTCGCGCGCTACCTCAAGCCAGGCCGCGTCAACGAGCAGCTGCAGAGGCTGGCGCCCGAGGTGCAGCGCGCGGCCCTGCTGGCCCCAGCACGGCTGGCCTCTCTCCTCGGCTGGCGCTGAGGAGGCTGCTGGACGTCCGCCGCAGGCGCTTCCTGGCGCCGCCGATCTTCGTGGAGGTCTTCTCCGGCGAAGGCGTGCTTGCAGCAGCCTTGCGGAGCGAGGGCGCCCTGGCCATCGAATGGGACATCGCCTGGGGCGCCGGCTGGGACCTCACTGACCCGAAGGTCTCCCGCGTGCTGCGGGGCTGGTTGGACGCCGGCCTGATCTGGGGCATGCATTTCGGCGTGCCCTGTGAGACATGGTCCAGAGTCCGAGACACCGGACCGCTGCGCGTGCCAGGCGGGTCTCCGTCCTGGCCGAGCCGTCTTCGCTCCGACTAAGAGTTCTAGGGGCTTGCAGCTGTGACGCGCCCATGAGCTAGTGAGATGCCGTGGGAATCTTTGAGCCAGTTTTAAGCATCTGCAGATCCCTTTTACAGTCGAGAATCCCGCGATGTCTAGGCTGTGGCTCATTCCGTCTCTGCGAAACTGTCGTGAGCAACTTTTTTTTTTGGGGGGCTGTCACGCATTTTTGCCAAGATGGGACAGCGTGGAAAAAGCCGACTGGTCTCCTAGGTTATCGTGTTGATGTCTCGGCTTTCGCTCGCTTATGCAGTGGCTCTCGTACTTGCTGTAGTAGGGCTGGTCAGCCTCATCAGATTCTAAGGGGAAAAGCTCCTGGAAGGCCTTTGTGGCCTTTAGTTGCGCAGGCCTATCCCAAGACGCTCGCGAGACGATGGGCTCGCGCGCTCGACGGTGCCAGACTGCACTCCGAGGCGCTGTCAGTCGCACCGCTCTGGCTAGGCAGCTAACATCAGAGGGGTAGCCCTCCGGATTGTTCGGGATGTTTGGGCCGTGGGGCCGTTCGCCAGAGCACTAATTCGGTTGATGAGTTATCTCTCTTGCCAGCCCCAGTGTCGTTCACGGTGCTGCCTCTTGCTTTCTAACGTGCTCCGACCTGGCCTCGGAAATGCCATCGTCGGGCATGAGAATGATGGTGGTGGTGGTGATGATGATGAATCTGATAATGGTGATGCTGATGATGATGCTGCTGATGATGAGGAGGAGGGAGAGCATGATCATAATGATGATGAGGCTGATGCTGATGATGAGGATGACTCATGATGATGATGCTGCTGATGATGATCATGATGACAATGCTGATGATCATGCTGGTGAGAGAGACGAAGACGATGATGATGATCATGATGATGATGATGATGATGCTGATGCTGATGCTGATTATGATGCTGGTGATGATGATGATGATGCTGATGATGATGCTGATGATGCTGATGCTGATGATGATGGTGAGGGTAGTGATGTCACGATGCTGATTCTGATGATTATGATACTGATGATGATGATGATGCTGATGATGATGAGGATGATGATGATGATGATGAGGGTGAGGATGAGGATGATGATGCGGATGATGATGGTGATGCTGATGCTGATGCTGATGCCGATGCTGATGATGAGGATGAGGATGAGGATGCTGATGATGATGATGATGATGATGATGCTGATGATGATGATGATGATGATGATGATGATGATGATGATGATGATTTGTAAAGTCGCGGAAAGTCGCAAGCTCGGTGCAATGTATTGCGTGCGTCCGGTCTTGGCTCAAGCTGTGAAGGCGCGGGTCTTCGCGGCAGCTTTCCATGCTCAAGTGGGCGCTGGAGCGGGGGGGCGAGCGCGCCGCGCAGGGGCTGGTCAACTACTTCGTCGGTGCCGTGTAGGGGCTGGGCGAGTGCGCCGCGCAGGGGCGCGGTGCCCGTCGGTGCCGCCCTGCCCCGCGTGCCCGAAACTCGCCTGCCAGGCCTGCGGAGCTTGACAGGTGCTGGCGTGTCCAGGGCTGATTTGCCTGGCGTGCCCGACTTGCCCGGCCCTGTCGGGGGCCGCCCAGTGCCCGGCGTGCCCCCGCCCCGGAGTCGGCTCCGTGCTCTGGCGGCAGCTGGGGCTTCTTGTGGTTCGCGATCGGCGTGATCGTCGGGGCTGCTGGGCTGCTGGCGGTGCTCGGCGAGCTCCAGGCGGCCCGCTGCTGCCGGCGCCGCGCGCCGCTGGGCATCGAGGGAGCGTGGGCCGACCCTCGGGTGAGCACAAATGGCGACGTGGGCGTTTGTGCTGTGCATCGGGGCCGGCCCCCGCCAGGTGTGGCACCAGAGGCTGGTGCTGGGGGTGGTGGCGTTCTCGAGTGGTAAGCCCCGCATGATCGCCACCCCTGATCGACGCGTGTATGCTGGAGACTACAGCCCAGACCCGGCGGACGTGGCGGCCGTGAGGTGGGCCCCGCGTTCAACGTGTTGCCTGACGGCATCCCGGTCGGCGGCGTGTACCGTTATCGCGCGGAGCCGACGGTGGCGCAGGTGGCGGCCTTCACGGCAGCGGCGGTGGCCGAGGCAGCCACGGAGGCGGCGCCAGCGGCGGCCCAGGGGGTCGCAGCGCCCGCGGTGGCCGCCGAGTGCTTGCTGCCGGTGGCGCAGCGCGCGGCCGGCGCCGGGCCGGCGGGAGGGGCCGCCCGGCTTCCGCCGCCGCTCCGCCCGGGGCCGGCGGCGTGGCGCCGGCCGTCGCCGCTGCCCCTCCGAGGGCGAGGGCGCGTCGGGCTCCTCCAGGGCGTGGGCGCCGCGCCCGGGCCTGACGGGCGCCCGACGCGCTGGGTGGCCGCCGAGAGTTTCGGCGGGCACCGGCTCGGCGATGAGGTGCAGTTCATTGCCAGGGCGAGGGCCGTCGGCAACAAGGGCGTCCATATCCTCCCCGACGGCGTGGGCCTCTTCGTGACGTACCTGCGCCCCAGCGACGAGGAGGCAATCTTCGACGAGATAGTCGCCGCCGACGCGCGGACCCTGACAGCGCGGAGGAACAGGCTCGGGCGGGCCTTGGCCGACATGTGCGTGGCGGTCACGAAGGAGGACTTTGGCAGGGGCTGGGGGCTGCCAGGGTGTCGCGCCGCGGCCTGGTGTCTGGGGCGCATCAATGCCGAGGGGCGGCCTGGGTGCCCATCGCGCTCGGTTCAGGTCGCTATGCCGCCTCGAGCCGAATGCCTGGGGCGTCGCGGAGCACCTCCACCTCGCGGGCGCCGTGAAGGCTACCCTTCTGGTCGACCAGCTCAACGGGGCCAACCTCGTGGCCGTGGAGATGCTCCTGCGGCGGTTGCAGACGATCGAGTTCGCCCGCGTTTCGAGCGGGCGAAGGAAGCGGAGTCGAGGGGATGCAGCGGGCGCCTTGGCCTCGAGGAGCAGCAGGCGTCTGCTGGCCTCAGCCGTGGCGCAGGACAGCTGGTGATCTGCCCAGACCTGCTAGACGTGGCGCGGGCGGACGTGGAGCGGGAGGCGCAGCTCAGCGAGGCTCTCAGGAACGGCGGCGAGGAGCGCGAGGCCGCCCGCAAAATGGGGGGCAAGGACTGATCCCCGTCTTTTAGACTTTCTGAGAGGTCGGCCTGTGCTGCGTTGAGGGCGCGGCGCGGGCCTCTCGGGCTCCTGTCGTCGCCCCCTTCCTCCCCGTCTTCGCTTCTTCTTCATCGTGCGAGGCCGTGCCTCGCCACCAACCTTTGAAGCTTCTCGTTGCGGCGGCGAGCCCTCCCGTCTGGTGCCCCGAGACGTTTTGTCCAAACCGCGGCCTGCGGTCGAGAGAGTCCGGGGTGCCGGGGTGCTTGTGAGGGGCTGTCCGGCGGGGTTCGGCAGAGACTTGGTAAGCGAGAGGGTTTCGAGCTTGATTGTGATCGTGCGGCTTGGGCTTTGAACTGTCTGAATCTTCGCCAGGTCGTGGGGGCCGGCCCAGCTCGTGCAGTTTCTGTATTTCAGGGGCAGCGGCGCTGTCTCGAGCGGATTCGGGGCTCCGCGGCCGCGCTTGGGCCACCTCCGCCGGAGTTGACTCCCGCGGAAGCTTTGGCGAAGCTTCGCGTGGCGAGCTGGCGTAACGTTGACTCTGCTGTGCTCGGGCCCTGCAACCTCGCGGGCATGTCGCCGCCCCCCGTCGCGCCGTGCCCTGTGCCGCTGGAGGATTTGTGGGGCGCTGGCGGGTCGGATATGAGTGGGGGCTTCATCCAGGGCCGATTGCTGCCGTCTGGTGAGGCAGGTGCTCTTTTAGAATGTGTCCAAGTGGTGGCGCCTTGCAGTGGCCCGAAGCTGCCGCGCGTCGCGGCCTTTGACCCTGGTCTCCGGGCCTCAGACTGCAGGCCCCAGCGACGGGGTGTCTTTGGGGCGCGGAGCTCCGGGCACCCCGCGAAGCTACTTATGGAGAAATAGCAGAACAATTGTGAAAAGCATACCATCAACAAGCTATGAACACTTTAACAATATATTCGGCGGAGCCTCTGGCACCCCGAAAGGGTGATATCAAACTATTGAGAAAGCCAGAGCCTATAGACGAACGTAGCAAAACATACGAAGACACATTGTAATGCATGTACGTGTATATACTTAATTGGCCGAGCCCCTGGCATCCCGAAAGGAAACTATCAGTGTAAATTTTGTGTATTGTTATTCTTGATTTTTGTGCTCTGCGCCCGCGCTGCAAATGGTGAATATGGAAAGTGTTGGAAGAAGATGGACGACATTTTTCTGATAGTTTTTCCTTCTCTGAGCCAGCGTTGCCAGTGATGGAAATTGATCAATCATGCACGTGTGCAAGAACGCATTTTTTCTTCCCCCCCCCCGCCTTCGTTGCCACTGACGACAACATAGAACAATCTATCAGTTTCCGAGCCGCCCCTATTTTTGGGTGGGGGAAACTCTCCGGCGCGCGTCGGACTGGCCAAGGCCCCAGATATTATGGACTTCTGAGGAAACCATCCGCCTTCCATCGGCGAGGCATGGTCGATTTCAGTTACTCTCGTAAGGGAAGGGTCGGTGCTGTCTTTGAGCTTGAGAAGTCGGGGGGGCTTCAGCTCGTGGTTGACAGTCGTAGGAGTAAATGTCACTTCTAAGACCCTGCCCCCGTTTCCCTCGCCGGTGAAGGCTTGGCAAGGCTGGGGCTCGGCGAGGGTGGGGAGCCGTGCGTCGGGGGGCCGATCTTTCGGGCGCTTTCTATCATGAGCAGCTGCTTCCCCCCCATCGGACCTTTCTGCTGCCTTAGGGCTGCGCGGGCTGGGGCAGTGGGATGTGCGGGGCCGATGAGAATCCTGTTCCTCCGACGTCGATGGGGGGCCCCAGAGCGGCAGTGCTGCTTGTGGGCTGGAGTTGGGCTCTCTGGATGCGTCCGACAGTGCGCGAGCGTGTCGTTGATGAAGCCGGAGCTTCCCCCGAGTATCGCGTCGTAGATAAGCAGGTGGCGCTGGGCCTGACTCGGGCGTGCCACTCGCGGTGCGTCGCCAGCTTCATCGCCGTCTCAACTGATGCCGCCGCCGTCCGCACTCTTGTTGCCGACGCCATCCGAACTCTCGAGGGTCGGGGACTGGTTGTTCACGAAGAGGAGCAGTCGGGGGATGACAGGCAGGGTTGCCCAGGTGTTCGGGCGGCAGATTGGCAAGTCCCAGGGCCGTTTCGCCGCTTCCCCCGCTCGCCTCTGGAGGGCGCGCCTGGCCATTCGGGCGGTCCTCCAGAAGGGGTCAGTGCTCTGGGCGCGACCTGGGGCACCTGCTGGGCCACCTTGTCTTTCTTCTCCCTGGTGCGCCGGGAGGGGTAATCTCTGTCCTGGTCCCGCGATGCGTTCGCCAGGGTGCATTGCTCCCAGGAGGTCCAGCTTTGGGCCTCGGCGCGTCGTGAGCTTGCTCTTCGGGATGGGCTCGTTCCCCCTCAGGCGCGGAGCTTCGGGCTGGCTGGGGCGAGGCCGTCGTGGCCGTCGACGCTGAGTGGGGGCCAGGGGCGTGTGCCGCTCGCTGTGGGGCTCCTCTGGCCTGGAGCGTCGGCGAGACCTCTGAGCGTTGGCGGTGGGGCCGGGCGGGGGCGGCTCATGGCCTTCGTCGCCGCGCGCTGGAGTTCGCTCGGGAAGCTGAGGCGGCGCCCGCGAGGCGGCCCCCTGGATCGCCGCCGCGCAGGACGTCCCGGGGGCCGAGGCCCCCCCTCGCCCTCGGCCTTCAGAAGCTGGGTCAGGTGTCCTGGAGGGCCTTGGGGATGTGTGCGGCTTCGGGCGCGTCGCGCGGGTCGTCGAGTTCCCTGAGGCACCCGGGAGATTATCGAGCTCGACTGGTCGGTCGTCGGGCCTTTTCCGTGGAGGCGCAGGGGGGGGCGTCGCCGTGCGCAAGGCCTGGGCTACCCTTGATGGTTTCCGTCATCTCATTCGGCCCTCGAACGACCTGGGGAAGCACGTAATGGTTTCGGACAGCTCGCAGTCGAAGGTGGGGGCGGTGGCGAGGTTCAAGGGCGACGGCAGGGGCGCGATGCGGGTGGCCCAATCGACCGCGGCCCTGTCGCTCGCTGCCGGCTCCTCGCTGCATTGTCAATGGCCCCCCCCCCGAGTGGAACGTGGCTGACTCCCCGTCGCGTGGCCCCTGGGCGCCGGCCGCGCGGGGGCCGCTTGACCTAGACCTGGCGTGCTCCCCCGCGCTTCCCCCGCGCCGCCGGCGCGCTCGTCGCGGCCGGGCGGGGGCCGGCCACCGCTGGCCCCGCCGGGGGCTCCGCTGGGCTGGCGGGCGGCGGCCTGGGAGGCGATGGCGACGGGCCTCTCTTCGTCTGTGTTGGGCCGCGCCGGCGCCCCGCCGCCGCGGCGAGGGCGGGCCCCGCCCGGTGCTCGCCGAGCAGTCCCAGCCGCGAGGGGGAAGCTGACGGAGAAGGCCGAGGTGGCGTCGCGGCGCCAGGCCGCCGCTGGCGGTCGGAGGTCTCGCGGTGCTTGATGAGACCGCCTCAGTCCGGCCCCGGGCGCGCGAGAAGTGCCCGTCGCTGTTCCGGGAGTTCCAGTCCTGGCTGCAGGCGCCCGCCCCGTCTGCGGAGGCCGATGTCGACGCGGTGCTGGCAGGCTGGCTGGGGTCGATGGTTCCTCGATGGCGAGAACCTTGGCATGGGGGTGGCGCAGTGGGGCTTCGCGGCGGGGGCCTTCTTCGTGGGGCTCCAGGAGGCCGCGGGGGCTCTGGCGCCGCGCAACCGCTGGGCCCCTCAGGGGTTGACCCGCGGGAGTCGAGACTGCCGCTCCCGCTGGAGGTGGTGGCTCTGATCGTTGGCGAGTTCGCGAGGCACGGGATGCTGACCCGCGCCCTCGCGCTCATCGTGATCTTCGAGCTGTGCCTTCGGCCAGGGGAGGTGTTCGCGATTCGGGTCGCGCACCTGGCGCCGCCAGTGCCGGGGCCGCCGGCGCGCCGGGCAGGGCGATCGCCCTCCGCGCCTCCCAGGCGGGGCGGTCGTCCAAGACCAACGTGTTCGACGTCGCGCCGAGGCTGGACCTCGACCGCCGCCTCCCGCTCGGCCGGGCCTTGCAGGCGCTGGGCCGGGGGCGCGGCCCCAACGCGCCCCTCTTCAACCTGGCGCTGGGCGACCTGGTCTCGGCGGTGAAGAGCGCGGTGAAGGCCCTGGAGCTCGACGAGTGCCTGGGCAACGTCCACCTGTGCCAGCTCAGACGCGGCGGCGCCTCGCACGACTGCGCCTCGGGCACGGGGGCCCTGGAGGACGTCAGGCTCCGCGGGCGCTGGCGATCATGTGCCTCGGTCCGACGCTGCGAGGAGGGGGGCAGGATCGGCCTGGTGCTCCTCGGTTTGCCCGACGAGCTCCGCGCCCGCGCGCTGTGCTGCAAGCGCTCGCTGGACGCCATCGCCCGCGGCCGGCCGTGTCGCGCGGCCCCCGACCCCAGGCCCGCTTCTTCCTTGAGATCTTCTCGGGCTCCGGGCGTCTCGGCCAAGCGGTCTCGCGTGGGGGCGTGAACGTCCTGCTCTGGCACGTGGAGCTCGGGCCGGACTGCGACCTTTGTCTGGCCCGCAACCGTGGCCTCGTTCGAGGCTGGGTCCGTTCTGGCCTCGTGATCGGGGTCCACCTGGGCGCCCCGCGTTCGTTCTTCTCCAGTGCTCAGGATGTGCGCCCTGGGCAATCGCCGCTGAGATCCGACGCCTCCCCGATGGGTCTGGGGGGTCGTAGCCCCGCCGGTGCCGACGGAGTTCGCCTGGGCAACCTGCTGATGTTCTTCTTAATCGCCATGGTTCGTGATGCCATGCTTTTCGATATCCCTGCGACGCCTGAGAATCCAGCCAGGGGCCGTATTTGGCTGTGCCCGGCATGTTAGAGATTTCAGGAGGCCCACATCATCGCGGTGACTGACAATTACTGACTTTTGTATGTGGGGCGCCCGGTGGAGGAAGGGAAATATGACAGGGGTTTTCGGGTCCAAGACTGCCGAGCCCTGCCCCGCTCGCCGCTGCGGTTCTCTCGCCAGGGCCCGGTGCTGCGCGCGGGCCTCGTCCGGAGCCGAGTCCTTCGAGAAGAAGTTGTCTGCGTCCCTGAGCGGGCCAGAGTGATGATCGGGAGGTCCTGGAGGTCCGTCAGGT